CCTTTTGATTGTAAAGGAAACTACTCACTGACACCTTGACTTCTGTTGTAATTTCCACGTAGGAAAGAGCTACATTTTTAAGTTTTATTAAAATTGTTAATTAACTTTTTCTCGCCATTTTTGTACAAACACACTACTTTCTGCAGTACAATACGATTCAACTGATACTCATAAGGGAATGGTGCATTAGTGTGTTCCAACACTGCTTTTATGCAGACAGAGGGGATTGTAAGTAATCCAGAAAAGTTGGAACACCTGTAGGAATTAGTAGCAACAGCTTTCAAGGCTTGATCAACCTCCATTGCCTCAGAACAGCTTTAAATTGTTAACCCATTTTGTGTTCCCTGAAAAAGGCCTTTTTGTATAATTCTGAAATGTACATTATTGTTAAGTTTTGGGTAACTTTAACCATTTTTAACCTCTAACAGTTCACCACTTACCTTTATACCATTTCAAGCTATCCATTGACTTGAATGACTTGAATTGCAATAAATAGCTGGAAAAATTGTGGTGTTCTAAAATGTTTGACCGGTAGCAGCAGTAAGTTGGCCTGGATATTGCAATTACTAAAATTTATATTTTTAATACAATAGTGTCTTTTTATTGTAAGCAAGCACATAAAAGAAGTATAAAAATAAAAAAGCTAAATGCCTAATGCCTCACTATTATTTTTACTGTGGATTCTGAAAACCATTATAGGCTATCTTTTCACTTAAACATTGAGCTCTAAAGTGCAGTTGAATAAATATAGTCTCATGATGATTCTACCAAAAGAGAAGGAGTGAGTGAAACAAAGAGATGGCTGAGTAAGCTACACTGACTATTATCAGTAGAGAGAAAGCATCACTTTACTGTGAAGTTGTTAATTATTTCAATAGAAACCACCTCTGCTTTCAGTCTGTTGACTCTAGAAGGTCAAACACTTGGTTGGTGGATGAGCTTTTTCATGAATTTCTCAAGGATCTGGATGTTGTGAGGCTTTCTAGTTTGACACACCTCTTTAATATTGCATTGAAGTAAGTCCTCTGGATTGGCAGACTGGGGTGAAGTTTCCCCTCTTCAAGAAAGGGAACTTTAGGGTGTGCTTCAAGGGAAGGATCACACTCCTCAGTCTCCCAAAGAAGATCTATGGCAGTTTATAGGAGGAGAAAGTCCATCCTTTAGTTATGTGACACACAGCATATTGGTAATATTTTCTTCCATCAGAAACATTTAAAAAAAAACAAGAAGATCAACTTACTATTTGCAGTGTTCGTAACAAGTAGGTCTTTTAAATGAAAACCACTTTATTTGAAAAGATAAGTAAATCTAAGTCTTTCAGCATTATAAATGGGATGTGGCTAAATGGCCTGACTCTAATGCTTTTTGCAAGAAGAAAAAATATAGAAAGAAAAAAGAAAACATATAGCAGGATGATAGTGCTAGCACCTTGTTTTGTTTTGGAGTAATGACAGTTTATTGTAACACATGAAGCAACACATCCTAAGTGATCTTTCAAGTTAGTTTTCCAACTCCAGGAAACACTCATATATTTTAACATCACGGTCAAAAATAAAGTCTCTCACAGACATTTGCAAGGTTTAAAATTTAATTGTTAGGTCTAATGTCAGACCTTGCTGGTGCAGAGGTTCGTCAGTGTAAACAAAAGCAAGACACTCTGTACGGTTCTCACTTGCAAGCAAGGGAAGTCCGGCAAGATGTTCAGCCGACTTCAAACTGGCTCCCCTTGCAGGCTCTTTTATTGACTACCGTGGGTTACACAAACACGGTCAAACTGGTTTAAACTGGTTACACAATGTAAAACCCATGTAGTGTGCCATAAAAGCTAAGGCACTGTGTGTGTGTGCATGCATGTGCGAGCAAGTGTGTGTGTCTGTGTCTCTGTATATGTGACTTCCTGCCACACAATATATGCTTACAACCGTTTAACCACATTTCCTAGTTATCCACAGGTCATCTCCCCACACCCGTATATGGGTTAACTTTAATGGTTCACCATATACAAGCATAGGCGAACCCCTAAATGGAGAGGAGGGAACATCCTTTACCAGATAAGGAAACCAGAACCTTTAGATGGAATGTGCCTGCAATTAAACATTATAGCATCCAACACTATTATCAAAATCAACCTAACATTAATGACAGTACAGGAAATAAAACGAGGTTCACCACATGTCAACAAGATGATTATAGTATTTGGAAAAGATTGAGCAAGTATTGTTTTGCAGGTGGAAATACAGCTGTAGGCAACAGTTTTGCAAGTATATAATGCCTAACCACTTATCAGTCATCCCTGCATTCAGCAACTGCTTATTTGTGTTATATACACATTTTCTTCCATATATATCCATATAACTAGAACATGTTTTAACATGGTGATGCTCTGAATTTTACTTAGATTGGATATATGAATATAAATTTTAATCTTACAGTATGTGTGTGTGTGTCTGTATGTGTATGGGATTAAAAACTCAAAGCTTCTCAGCATGATAAACAGGATGCGGGCCTTTAATGTTGTGTGACCAGGAGATATTTTATTGCCCTCAAAATCCGAACCATGACAGTTGCGAAAACACAATCTAGTCTGCTAATGAAATTGTGTTCACACCTAGTTTGGTTTTGCCTCAGGAGGCGGCCATGAGAACTGACCACATCTGAGGTGAAGTAACATTTGGCGTGGGAGATCAGTGTGGGCACAGAGTCTATTTAAAAGCCAAGGACTGTCTTGGAGATAGACTGCAGGAGCTTGATATTATTCATTATTGTGCTGTTTACTGTCATACTCTAGTGTGGGAGCTCTAACTATCAAGGGAACTGAATTACACTCTGAACTGCAAGATGAAAGTCTTTCTTCTCATGATTTTATACTTGGTCAATTGCTCTGTTGCTGTAAGTACAAAAATGTCTAAACAGTTTTATTTGATATTTATTGTCAATTTTTATCCCTTATCAAAACCCTTTCTGTTAATATTTAAAACAAATACATTATTTATGTTTTTGTAGAGGCGCCATCATTCATGCAGCAGTGGGTCTGACAGTAGTGAGGTAAGACATAAATAATGCCATAATTGTTTGTAAAGAACACAGTAATATAAATTTTTTTCAATGCTTTTGCAGAGTGGCCAACACCGCTGGATTAGACCTTCATTCAATATCTGTACTCTGTTTCCGATTCTATGTGTGCAACCACCTATTCAGCCATCAACATCAACCACAACACAGACTTCCAGGACCACAATCATGTCTACCACTACAGCCCCGAGGGGAGACAGTAGTTGAATAGCATTGATCTGGAAAAAAAAAACAAAGTAGCTTATACTACTTTGGTTTGAACTTTCCAGCATAAGCAGCACAAAGCTGCATAATAATAGGGAAATTGATGCTGTGAGAATGATGTCTGTTTTTTACATTTTGTTACCTTGGAGTCAGAAATTAACCAAATTTTATTGGCATTCAAAAACATTGCATACTGTGTTTGCATATTTTCACATTTCAGTATTGCAGCATCCTTCAACCTCCCTTTACAATGTTATATATGTTTTGTTGATCCTACTTATTTGAATGTTTTGTTTAATTAAAAAAAAAACTTATATAACCAGTGAGGTTGTATGTTGCACTGTGATTTGAAACATTAAACATTTAAAATTTGGAGAGGCATTCAGTCAGCAAGGTAATGATGAGTTTTGTTAGAGACTAGGCTTCCAGACATTAGTGGGAGGGATGCTGACGACATGCATGCGTAATATCCAGTCAGCGGGTACACACAACACAAACCCTAGATCAACACAGCTTAAGTGAGGGATGATTGCTGAGCTGTTAATGCATGGCTCTGTGCTTCATGAGTTAAACACATAGTACTGCTTTATTTCTTCTTCACACACCCTCTTCAGCAATATTTTCACTGATTGCACAGCACTGCTTGCTCCGCTGATTTGACAAAAAAAAGTAATTAAGATTGTCATTAGCATACACCCTTTTAACAAAGCTAGTATGGTCTCTTACTTTCTCTTTGATGTGATGTGTGCATGAATGTGCATTATAAATGTAATCTCCTGTTTTGTGGATGTCTGCCTAATTTGCAAACTTGGTTAATTTTGTAAACCAGCTGGCAACCAACTTTTAAAGTATGCACTGAATTATATGTATTTTTCATAATTGTTGTATTTGATGCTTTGATGATTTTTTTTCAGAATAAATTATAATTTGAAAAGAGAACCTTGTTGTGGGATACTGCACTTTTTAATCTATCTATCTATCTATCTATCTATCTATCTATCTATCTATCTATCTATCTATCTATCTATCTATCTATCGATCTACATAGTTAGACAGATACTGCTATTACTAATAACAATTTATTATTATTATTTGGATCCTGTACCCAAATTGCCACTTGTCAGTAATTTTTATGTATGCCGTTTTAGCGTATGATGTTGCAAACAAAATGTTGTGTCAGTTTAAAATGATGGAAAGATATTACTTTATCAAATGTGAAAAAAAAAATGTGTGGTCATAAGTATTATCTGTGTTTCCTTTATTTTGTTATTTGTTATTGAGTGTTTGATTAAAGAAGGTTGATTCAAGGTGATCTACAAAGGAAATTTCTTTTAAACAGAACAACTAAAAGTCAAGCTGGATAGAATTTATACATATTATAATTACTTGCTCTTCAATTTTCTCTCACATTTCAAATACATTTAGTGCTAAGTTAAGCATTTGAGCTCATCTTCAAATTAATTTTAATATTTGAATCAACATATATGTCATTAATGTGTAGTTTGTCATTTTTTTATGTCTTACATTAACTTATCAAGTGTTCATTTTTATGTCTGTTGCAGCTTCAGTTATTTTTCATGTCTGCTTTTTAAGATTCTTTTTTTGCACATCACACATTCTTGGTTTGACCATACTGCAATTACAACAGCGAGACACTGACACATCAGCCACATCAGCCACACCCGTAGGTGCCCGTAGTAGCAGGAAAACCACAAGGCCTCAACTCTCATGCGTTTGTTTAATTATTTCAAGAGACATTACACCATCATAATTGAAGAAAAACATGCCGTTTAGGACACTTATTAGATTTTCTTTGGTTTCCACCTCCCTGCTTCATTCAGCAGACGATTAGGTTGAATTTATCTTTCTTCAGTCTGCCATGTGATTGGTTGATCCAGTTTGTGAGCAGTGCATAAGTTGAAGGACCCCTCCATACAGTTTCAATGAATTTACTCCTGAGTGCTCCACGGAGATAGTCCTTAAAGCACCCACTGATCCAGTGGAACTGATTAAAAACCATATCGATTTTGTTCTCCCTTTGGAAATGATTATCATAACGCTGCTGTTATGCTTTACCATAGAAGTCTCTGCAGTACCAGTAAGTAGACTAATAGAATATGGTTTAAAATACAATACTTGATATAATTAGATAATTTTATGTTTATTCATTTAATACTGGTTGTCATTTAATTAACATTTGACATTCTATGAACTCTGTGACTCAGTGATAATTTTACCATCTTCTTTCTTTCTTTCTTTTTCAGGTCAATTCAAATGTCCGTCGTCCCCTGCTGTTACAAGGAGGGGAAACAGCAACTCAAGGTGCTCAGCACGTTGTAGCCGCAAACCAGAAACCCGAATCTCCTACGCCAGCCTCTATTTCTCCCAGTGTTCAGCCACAGGCAGGAGGTCTACAGCAGCCTGATCCACAGCCCATTCCTTCACTGCAACAGTACCCCTGGTATCCACAAGGGGGCATGCCCATGCAGCCACTCTTCTATGGACCCCACCAGCTGACACTGCCACAGCAGCCTCTAGTAGGAGGAGGCGGGGGAGCTAAGAAAACAGAATATTAACTCTTATTTTAAATTATTTTCTCCCTTTAAAAATGTGTATTGCTGCTTTTTTCAGATTTTCCCACCTTATGGATACTTACCGCTGTTCTCCTCACACTATGGGAATCAGCTGGTAAGCTAAGAGACACGCTTGCTGGAGACAGGAAACACCCTAAAACCCTTTCATAAGACACAGTATTATGAAAATAAAGACATTGGTATTTTGGCTTTTGGAGTAAGGAGTTAATATTGGAGTTGTAACTTGTGGTGTCGGTGCAGAAATTGTTGATATGTGTTGTTTTGTTTTATTTTATCTTCTCTCCATCAGTTCAGCCCATATGGTTACCCAATGATTCTGGAATCGGCTCTCCCACAAATTCCAGCAAATCAGCTTCCCAACAGTCCAGTGTTACCTGCAGAAAATGCTGCAGGAGTTGCAGTTGCTCCTTCAATAGATGCAACTCAGGGAATACAGCAGCCACAGCAGCAGCTGCAACAACAGGTGTCTCTGCATATACATAATGCAGAATAAGGCAAAAAAAAAGAAAAAAGAGTTACAATTATCTAACCGAATTCTCATCCACAGAATCCACAGATTGTATACATGCTACAGCAACCAATGGTAAATATATAACACCCTCTGCAGACTTAGATGATTAATGCTATTTGCAATTTCACAATTTTCTTTCTGAGAACATTTCACTTGACATATGTTGTAATTAATTACCAGAGCTCACCTCTTGGCAGTCTTAGCTCTGAGGAACTTCAGGTAACACAGCCAAGATTTTTTTCTTCTTCCAGCTTGTTCAAACAGTCTGTTTAGTGAACTCAGTGATCCCACTAACACTGCCCCTCCCTTGCCTCTTTACAGTATCTTATCTCTGTTTACTGTTTCAGATGGCTGCTACAATGGGCCAATTGGGGGTGTACATGCCTAATGTGCTTACAAACCAGCCTGTGGGAGCTGTCCAGCCCGAGAGCCAGGCCGCAGGACTCACACACCCAGAACAACAAGGCGTTCAGCCAGCTGTGGGGACCTCAGCTGCTGGAGCTCAACCGATAAAGGCACTGCCGTGCTCTGGATCACATCCAAATGCTAGCGGGTTCTCTGCAGGTTTAGCTGGGTCGGATGCTGCCACTGCCCAAAGACCTGCTGAACCCCAGCTTCAGCCCATGCGGGAAACCCTTGTCTGAGACTGTTGTCACCAGTGGAGATAACCCACAACATACAGAGAAAACAAAATGCATTATTGATGGGTACTAACAACTTTTCAGTGGCGCTTCTCAAGGATATTACTAACCGTTGCTATTTAATTTCATTTATTATTATTTTACTTAAAAAAAAAAATAAATAAAAATAAATGTCAAATAAAAAAGGAGAACAAATAAGGCTGGGCCTGAACTGTTTTGTCTTTCCATGTTACTGTCTTTCATAACCTTCAATTAAATACATTTTAAAACCATAATGTAAGAGAGTGTGCACAGTATTTATCTAATCATCATCCTGAAGCATATTTATCCCAGATTATAGATTGTCATCACACCTCTGACGTATCCACGCAGGCTCAGATACAATGTGCAGTGAATGTCCCTAAAACTGTTGTAAATTTAAAGTTCTACCCAATTCATTGAAAAAGACATTCAGTTTTACAAGTATACATGATCATTTGTAGGTTTTAACAGGCCTCGAAATACTGCTGTTGGTAAAGCATTTATCCTCTAAACATCATCAGGTATAAAGCATCATATTTTCTATTAGGAAAAACACACAGGAGTAAGTAAGGAAGCACTCTTTTGAATTCCAACTCCTACTCCCGAATAACCCTGTTGCCCTTTTTGAGTTTGAGCTGTTGCAAAGAGGCACCTGATAAGACACATTGCAGAGGAATGTGAAATATGTGCTTTTCAAGCCAAAAAAATTATTAAGAGATTTCCCAGACATGCAGCTGCCAGGTTTGTGATCATACAAAGAAAAACGATTGGCTTACCATCAATACCTGTCAAAAGTTTGCTCGCCCTTTGTTTCTCTCAGCAAATAAATAGGCGATCTCACTCTCCTCTAATCACACCTCTCTTCAACAATCCTCGAGTGCTCACGTGCAGCCAGGGAAGAAAGGTAATGTAGATCCTGCTAATATCACATGAAACTGCAAAAGACGTTTTAAATTTGAATGCTTTTTTAAAAGACGTGCACTAAAAACTACCAAATGTAATAACTCAAAATTCTCTTTCTGTCACAGCAAGTTTCAAAATGAAATTTATCGTGCTTGCTGCCTGCATCCTTGGGATGGCCATCTCTGCTCCTGTAAGAAAAATACTTACATTTCTGCAAAAATATCTATTTTCCCTTTCTTTTTCTTTCACATGTAACAATTAACATACAACATTCATCTTCAGTATTTTAGAGAAATATCACCTACAGAGCTTTAATACTCACCTTTGTTTTTTTTAGCAGATGGAGTTTTTCGGTCATTGTTATCCGTTTATGGTGTCTGTTTTTGTCTTTAGCATTAATCAGTAAAACAACATTCAATAACTGTCTGAACATGTTACACTGACCTGCATTACACTGAATTTTATTCTCTTCTTTACAGCTGCAGATATTTGAGGAGTTTGACATCCATTACGCTCCACCTCAGGTACAATAAGAAGCAGCTTGGATCAGCTGGTGGATATCATGACACCCACACATATTAACCACAGTAAAAGCCAGATTTTCAAACTCTGCACGGTGGTCTGTTATGATTTGTTCACCACTGATGTCTTCATAGCTGAACTGCTTTTCTCCAACACGGCTGACTTTTCTCATAAGATTGTGTCCCTGTTAAGTGTATATGATTAATACTGTATTTCAGGCGGCCCAGGTTATCCCTGCTGGAGTCCCACTTGACAATCTGGAAGTTGTAAGAGTTCAATCATTGTTTTGCACCTTTTCAGAACTTTTCTGTGCATCTGGTGATTATTTCTTTACTATGTTGTTTTAATGCTTCCAGTTGCTCCCTGTTGATGCCCAAAGACACCCTCTTGGAGGACCTGTGAGTAGCACAGTTCATAAATATATATATATAGATATTTACCTATTGAGAGTGTAGTTTGCAGACTTTGATCCAAAGAATGGAAATGGAATAGAAACCTAAATGCTATCTGATAAAAAGAGTTAATTCTATAGACTTTGACGTTTTTAGAGCCTACATGTAATCAAAGAAGAACCACAAATCAGAAGTATTACAGATTCCAGTGCAATTATGAGTTTCTAAGTCTGTTTTCATTGAAAGGTCCACGGCTTTATCAAGCACGAGATTCCAAATCCGAATGGCATAGGTACCAAGGAGGTGGTAGGTGTCTGCAGAACATATTTTCTCTGGCAAAGGTTTTTCAGATATTTTATTGAATTCACAATTTATTTTATTTTCTGTAGTTCTACCCCTTTGGCTTCAACCTGCCTAATCCAGCTGCAGCTGACCCAGCTGCTCCAGTTGCCCCAGCTGCTCCAGCTGCTCCAGCTGCCCCAGCTGCCCCTGTTGCTCTTGCTGATCCTGCCATTCCTGTGGAACCTCTGAATCCTGTCGTCGTTGCACCTCCCCCAGTAAGAAAGACTATCGCATTTAAATGTATTTAACAAACAATAAGCCTCTGTCATGATTTGATGCTGGCAATATGCAGTTTAGTGCAGTAATAGCTTCAATAGACTTTGACAGGCAATAAAGTGGAGTTGGATTGAACTGAAATTTGTTATGAGGGCAGCCGGTTCATTCCAATAAAAAGGATCACGTCAGACAAACCTCCCAACTATTTCTGCTGAGTTGTGGAAAAAACCGTGACTCATAAATGCACATGTAGGAGACTATCATCAGTCCTGATTCGCTCACCCAAGTCCTCTGTCATTTTAGCGTGGCAAAGATGATGAAGATGAAGATGACTAAAACTACTTAGTCAGCAGGAAAAAACCACTCTTGGCACACTCAGGTATCAATTCACATATTCATATATAAAGGTTTTAGAAGTAGTAGTTCATATAAATAAATATGCAAGGATCACATGTTATTTTTCTAGGGGATTGAGTCTCTCAAACTTTCATTTGCTTTTGTCCCCACTGTAGGTGACCAGAGGTGTAAGACTATCTGCTTACTGTGGTGAAAAATCGCCAGCCAGCAATGCTATTTTCTGTGGTGCTATGCATTTTTTGAAATGGTGCTTTGTTTGGAAAAAGAAGAATAAAGTCAAAAAGCATGACATGCCTCTTATGAAAAAAAAATTGATGGTTTGCAGTTAAATATGACCAAAAGAAAATATCAAAATAAATGTAGCAGTATATTGTTTCCTCTCTACATGCAACATGAAATGTTTCATTTCTGTGCTTCATAATAAATGAAACAGCTCATTCATCTATTGTTTCTGGTTCTTTGCTTCAGATATATTTCAAATAATAAATATCTGATACTCAGTCCATGAATTATATGCAGCATTTTGCAGATTATTACTGACTTGCTTTTTTGACTATCCACAAATAGCTACAGCAGGCAATTATATTTATTATAAATAATAAAGGCTGTTCTCTGATTTCACTACTATGTGCTGCTTCAGTACAAATTTATTTTTAGAGTAAAACAAGCAAACAAACAAACAAAAAAGGATATAGTATTATATTTATCTATGCTGTATTAACATAAATTTTTAGTTTCAGATATTTGTGCCACCTTATGCAATTGTAGTGAGACTAATGGCAGAACGAGGAGTAAGCAAAGTGAAGGTGTGCTCTGCTCTAGACGGTATAATCAAACAGACGACTCTGCTATTACACAGAAAGTGGATATGACCACTGGTCATTTAGTAAAGCTGAAGACTAGACACCTAAACTCTACCTAGTCATTGGGCAACACCACTCCTATCTCCTGTGACTGGCTCTTTGGTGAGAAAGCAGTGCATAAATATCCAAGTAACTCTGCAGAAGTCACAGTCCAACCTGCTGGCATCATCTCCAACATCAGCATTCATCATTTTCTCCTTTTCTGGTGATTTTTAAAATTTCAGACGGTGAGTTGAGCAAAATTTTAACATTAGCTCCTACATGCCTTTCCAGAAGGAAGCAACCATCCAGTGTGACTGTGGTGGAAGTTTCACAACTTGGAATGATTTATTTTATGTCTGTAGGATAAACATGAAGCTGGCTCTCTTGTGCCTCTGTTTGGCTAGCACAGCCTGTGCTGCACCAGTGAGTGTTAAGTAAAAGCCAACCATTTATTTCATGGAGCTGAAACCTGTCCAATACTTAAAGTTTAACTTCTGTTTATGCCTTTAGTTTCAGTACTTGCCTCATTACACTGGATCCAGGCAACAGATGCCAACTTTACAGGTAATTATGCATACTGCATACTGTTTATCTTCTCTATATCTTCTGTGTATATTCTATATACAGGTTCAAAATACTGCAAACACCTACACAAAATATTGCTGTATACTGAAGTCTTCAAAATTTGCATGTATTCAGATGAACAATCCCTTTACGGCTGGTTTTCCACACACTGGACTACCTGGTGGTTACAGTGTGGAACTGGTATGTCAGACTCTTATTATTACTCAGGTTTATACACGTTTTCAGATCAGCACCATTATTTATTACATTTGGCTCTAACAGTGGCTATGAATCATGATTACAGTACAACATTTATGTTTTTTTTCTCCAAGATTTATCCCCACAGATTTCCAGGAGGTGCAGGTGTTTCAAACCCAGCACAGGTATGCATACATCAGTTTGAGAGAAGTTTTTCCACCTACAAAAAAATAAAAATAAAATAAAAATCACCTAACTTCTTTTCGTTGATCCTGATTTCACTTTTGCCTTCTTTCTCTCTGCAGCCCTTTTCATCTTTTGGTCTCATCAAGTACTCCATTCCTCAGC